ATGGCACCATGACTGGCATGAATCTGCCCCTCCTGACAATGATCTGCCCCCTCCCGACGAGGGACTGTGCCCCTAGCGCACAGGAGATGAGCAGGATGAAGAAGGGAAGAGGGGGAACGAAAAATGGCATCACTTTTTTCCGTCCGCGCTCTCTCCCTCCTGTGTACTTTTGCTAAGCCGATGATGAAACGCTTCCCTGCAATATTTGTGCAGTGCCCAAAATGGTTGTTGACATATGTATCAGGGTATCTTCCTGGCACCCACCACCCAGTATACCCCCAATTCACACCTGACAATCAACGGGTTGCCCACGGCGATAACAATTTAGACACCCAGCAAGATTGATATCAGAATTAGAAAGAGGTTATCCATAAGTACGCTTGATTGATTTATTACTATTCCACACAAAACTAATGTATTTGAGGTTAGCCTACACGTACTTACGATTCCTAGAAATAATAGTACCTGTATTAACAATAGCCTCTGAAAAGGAAAAGCAAATGGTAAAAGTAGGTTGGCACTTCATTTTGATGACTTTTAAAAGAATCATTCATCATTTCAGTACTCATATTTAAAGAGCCAGTATTCCCAAATTCCTCTAGAAATCCTCTAGAAATAATTGCTATATGGATTTGTTTCTAAATCACACTGATATAAAAAAAAATGTACCGTATTGGTCTCTTAGTACTGTACCTTACTAAGATATTAAATGTACCTCAACAATCAAGCTTGCTGTCCTGTTGGTATAACAATAGCAAATGTAACGAATTTGCAATTCAACAGTTATCATGTAATTTAAAAGCATTATCTCATTTTTCAAAATCGGGGGGGGGGGGGGTATTTTGGTGTCATTATAGAAGCTGGGCAAAAAAATTGAATTAATAAGCATGCTTTCATAGCAGGGACAAATGAGATATAAAAAATAAATCTTTTTTTCAGACAAAATTGTCCATTTGCAATTACAGCAGTCACAGCAACTGACATCTTAAGTTACAACTCATTGCCTACTGGAACCAGCTGGTTCCTGTATTAAAACTGTAGGAATTATGACAATTCAGTTGTCAGTGGGTTAAAGGCATGTAATACAAAGTTTTGGGAAATTTTGAAAATTGGGTGGATAGTGATTCTTTACAATTTTGATATATTTGGATGCCCCTGTGGATGTATAATAAGCACTAAAATAATTAGCCCCTAAAACACTTCTGTTTTTGAGAAAAATTGAATATAAACATTTACCGGTGCTCCCGGTAAATTTTGATAAATTTCAAATAGCGTCTATGGCCGTACAATGGTAGCTGCGACCATGAAAATCTCAGAATATGTAGTTGTGATATATAATTTCCAAACGGGAATAGCTAATCGGTCGATTTTAGTCATGAAATATTGTTTCATAGCTAAATTAATATCTTGACCTTGAGAGGGAGCTATACAACATAAAGAGTTTATTATTTATAATTTCATAACTTTAGACTCGATTTCAACCGCGACAACGATCAATGAATATTGTAGGAAAGCATATGCTTCCAATATGTTAATTTGAACTAAATTCATGACCCCATACCAAAACTTTGTAATACCTTTAACAAACATGTTGGCCCTATGAAGATCTAAACTTATAAACCCTCTCAAACCTACTCATAATAAGAAAAAACAGGTCATGGCCATGGGGTATGATAGCATTATTAAATGTGGTGAACATTTGAAAGGAACTAACGGTACTGCGTTTGACCAAAAAAGGACATGACAAGACATTGGCAAATATAGAGGTCTCATTTCCAAACAATATGTTTTGCATTATTAAATAGTGTGATGACCCTTTAAGGGGCTTGCAATTAACCTGGACCATCACCGAAACAAACCCATGGGCCGAATGACCTTGCAACATTAAGAGCTCACATGAAGACCCTGCATGCATTCAAAAAGGGAAAACCCCTCGCCATCTCATGTTTTTCTTTCAAGGCTTCACTCTTGGAGACAGCACTTGCAGGGCTTTACATCTGCGTACATGTAATCGCAAAGTGAAGCTCGAAAGAGAGACAGACCAACAACCAAAAATGACTTGCTGAAATCAACAGACTATTAAATCTGATCTTTGCTAATATCCTTCAGACTAAGTACATTTGTCTGGATTTCATAGCAACTATAAAACATGTCACGATTAGACTGGATTTATATAATGGTCAGCATCTTTGCTTTTCAGGGAGAGTGATGTAATCAGGGTTTAGACATTCTGAAAATGAGAAATTGTCTGCACACAGCTAAAAGGGCATTAAATCTGCTTTAATTGATACGGATTACTGTAAAACCAGACATTTTCACATGAACATGAAATTGCCACCGATTGTTAAGGATGGCCATTTTCATGGCAAAATCTCTTGCCAATTGTAAAAATTCAGTGTTGTATTGATGGTGACTCAAATACTTTGGGGCATACAATTGTCGCAAATCCGAACTTTTATATGAACATTTCATGTATGCAATAATTGTTGGTCTTATACTAGTTATGCCCATCTGGCTCTCAATCTGAGGAGATGTAATGCTCTGGCGATGGTGGAGGATTCCTAGGATTGAGCTAATGGCCGTACCTTGAACCAACAAGCATCCTGGTGTGAAAGACTCTTGGTTGGTGGCCAGCTCGTCCATGACAAATCTGGCATGTATTTGTCTTCCCCTGCTCAAAGCAACAGGATGGGGGATGACTCTGACATGAGGTTCAGCCAGGGGACAGCCAGCCAGAAATGAGAAGAGGATGAGACCCAAGGGCCACTAGGGACACCGCTGTTAACCAATCTACTGCAGGTTCGAAGGCTACGGTGCAGCCTGGCCGGAGTTCTGGGCTCTAGCTTTGGCTTTCAAGGAGTTAAGTGTGTGTCAATGGAAAGTGAGTGGCCATTCAGCCACTAACCTCTCCCGAATCCAACATTTCTCTTCTCTTCCGAGAAGAAGTAATTTCAGGTTGAAACTAACCTATATTTCTCTCTACTATTTGTTATAAAAGATAAGGGGTGCGGTTCTAGCTTTGATGGTCACTGGGTTAAGGTTTTGCTGAGTGGAGGAATGGTCATTTAGCCATTAACCCCTCCAAACTCAGTATCTCACTCCTTCTCTGAGTACATTTGCAGATGTGACTTTCACGTTGAAACATTGCACTTTTTGTTCTTCCCTTGGTGGGAATTCCCCTTCACCTTGACAAACGGGAAATCACAAACATCCTAGTAATGACATTTCAGTCTTTTCCCTTGAAGATTCTACTACTGAGTATTTGAAAAAGACAATGATGAGAACAATTTGAAGGATAGTGACTGCAGTGTCCTTGAAGAGTGTCTAAAGTGCATGACTCCACGTATGCAACCGTTGCAGAAAACATTCTTTTCATTCTCATCGACTAACAATACTTCTCATATTTATTCGGGTAATTCATAGTGAAGCTCATGAACAATAAGATAGAAAATGGCAAGAGAACAATGTCTGAAAGGATACATTGTATTTCTGTCAGAGAAACCTAAAAGCCAGTATTCTACTAAAGCCTAAAACTGACACTGGGTTTAAGCTATGATAACAGCCGATTACAACAAAAGAAGATAAGTTTTTGTGTGTTAAACACGACTTCAACCCAGCATCAGTTTTAATGATTTGATAAAGTACCAGATTCAGTCTTGTTTTGTTTTTCTAAATATTGTTCCTTATATGAGTAAGAGAGTTAGCAATCTTAATAAAAATGCAACATTTCTGAACTCCTAATGATGTAAATGTTCAGGACTTCAATAACATTTCAACTTTTTCAACAAAGCACAATCTACATAACAGTCATATCAACCACCATCGTCATCATCATAATCACCATACTATTACTACATACTGTAACCATAATGAACTAATGTCAAAGAAACTTGAAAAAGACCTAACTTCTAATGGAAATTTAAAAGGGATGGAAGTTTGCCTAACTTTAAGCAATGCCTAACTATTACCAAATCTGTCTGCCCAAAGCAATTCCTAACACAGAGTTAGGCAAATACAGAGATTGACGATATCCCACTGCTGACATTTGACTAATCTGACTTTAGCTCTGGCAGTCATTATCAACGCATGGTGATATTCAATAAATGATATCATGCACTCACTTACTGCACCTGGGTAACGAGAGGCAAGTGTAGCTACATGGCCTGCATTTTGCAAGGATCCAAGCCTTCAATCCTGGGCCCTGTTTCATAAAACTTCTCATCAGTAACAAGTTACAATAGCTGTTATAAGCTACTGAAATCATGGAATTTGATTAGCTAAGAGCAAATTGGACATAGAAATTTAGCATTTGTTATTGATAACAAGTTTTATGGAACAGGGCCTAGGAACACCAGTTGATTTTACAAATTAGTTTGAAAAGAGACTTTAACATGGTGACGCCCATGCATTTCGTAATATGGAGCTGAAAGATGAAAGGTGACGGAGCCTAAAATCAGGCATTCATCTCGAACGTAGCACCCTGGCTCCAACTCCAGATTGAAAATCAAGAGAATGGCCCATGATAGCTGGTCCACTGGACTAGATTCTTCTTTGCAAAGATTTTCAAGAAATTAAACTACACAGCAATTTCATTTCAACACATGATTTTATTCCCTATATACAAGGATAATGTTTGGATGACTAGGCTGTAGATGATGTATGTCATGGTGACATTCACGATTTTCATTCAGTGATGCTCCCAGCTAGGCTGAAAGTGCCCTGTGGTTTTCTTTCCTACTGACATGCCCCATACATATACAGTGAAACCTGTCTTTAAAGACCACCCAAGGGAGACAAGAAAAGTGGTCTTTACAGACAGGTGGTCTTTATGTTCAGGTTCCTCTAGTACATATTTCGATGAGAAACCATTTTCAAGGGGGAAAAATGTGGCCTTTGTAGATAGGTGGTCTTTGTAGACAGGTGGTCTCCAAACCAGGTTTGACTGTAGGAACTTGCGATCATGTTTAGAATAAAAGAAATAAGGTTGAGGATGGACTTACTTTGGAGGATCCAACATGGGGTTGGCGTTAGGTTCATCTCTAGCGTTACCAGCTGGTCTCTCCTCGGCTTCTTGCTCTGTCAAGATCTCAAGTTCCAGTTCAAGTTTGCCCTGGAATACAAGACAAGGAGGTACACATCAACATCAGCTTTACAAAAGTGGGAGTCCTACCCTTAAAGGCATCATTTAACAATGTTAAATATGAGATGCATGGCCCTACGCCTTATCAGTGTCTGTGATATGGTGAAATATTGAAGCCCTAAAAAATTGTGCTTCAAAATGATCAAGAAGTGCCTCAAAAGAGTAAAAATCTTTGAGTGACCGGTTTTACCATACTCGTTTCCCCCAATAGACTGTAGTGTTATGAAAAACGTTAGGAAGACGCAAAATTTGGTTTCGATTTCCGATCATAAATATCTTGGTAATCAGACAGGCGATCGGCTTGTAAAAGTCATAGGGTTCCTGACTGACCTAAAGGTTTATAATTATGATTGCAGCATGAGCTAAATCCAGGATTTTGTTTCAAAATCTGAGGCAATGTTACTGAGTCACTTTAACATATCCCCAAAGTCTCTAAAAAAACAACCTGATGTGAACAATATTTTACGGAGTACAAGTACAAGTACTCTAAGGGACTTGGTAATGAGGATTCATGCCTTACCAAAGGGCACTAACGCATCGACTAAAAGATCTTGAAGCCTTTGGTAGTTCCATCAAAAAAAAAAATACATAATATGGCACAGGGGGGTTAATTTTTGTGGCATATAAAGACTTGGAGTCTTAGCTCCTACTTACGGTGATCTCCCGTTCTCCGGACTCCTCACTGATGACCGGCCACCAGCCCTTGAGACGCTTGGCCTCAAAGAGAGAGACCATGGAGACCTCCTTGCCCTTGGCTTCGTTAGGCAGCTGCTTGAGAGAGCATTGGCGAGCTTTCTTGGCAGGGTTGGGCATGCCGTTCAGGTTTAGCTCAATCGATCCTGAAGAGTCAAAGAAGTAAAAGAATTGATGTTAACAAAAGAAGAAGAGTGCTTATCATGCTCTGAAGGGTGTGAAAAGCCATTTACAATCATCTCAACTGAACCTGACAATTCAATTTGAACAAACTGAACACAAGTGTGGTCTAATTCATGTTCCTCAGGATTTAAATGAACACTCAAATTGATCGTACGGTAATTGAAAATGAAGATTCAAAGATTCAAACATAACAGATGAATGTAGTATTAGTGAGATCCAATTAAAACTTAAACGTTACTCTATTCAGGTATTAATAGCACAATTGAATTTGAAAATTCAATGGAAATGTAAAAGAATTGATATTACATAAGTGAGGTCTACATAATACTGCTTAGGGGTTTGACACAGCACTCATGTGCAGTGTGATTGGACTTACAGATTCAATCGAGAGTTTTTTTAATGAAATAAACATGAGAAAGGTTCATATTATGCTGGAGAGGGAAACGATGACCTCACTTTTGCTCTGTTGACATTTGCTACATGTACAATCTTTACATTGTCGAAGATAAAGGCTTTTAAGGTTTAACCTGCAATAGGGTTGTAATCGTTTGATTTAGGTGTAGTGTTAGGGTGTCTGTTCGATCCATGGTTAAAGCTAGGACTCTGGTCCAAATACGAAACTGACATTATTGCAATTGTCACTGGGGCATGTGTCACGGAATCAAAGTAATTTCATGGATTTGAAAATTTAAACACAAAATCTTATCTATGACAAAACTAGCTTGTACGGTTTTTAGCCCAAGGAGCACAACCCCCAAAACAATACATCAATGAGTGAAATTGGATTAAGGGGCAAGATTAGGAGCGATCCAAGCAGCTGCCCTTTTAAAAGAGCATCATTTACAATTCATTTGATTGTATTGTGTCTGACTTTCATCTTTCCTGTTTCGAACATTGTCCTCGTGTTCACTCAAAATCAAGTATTAAACTGAAATTGGTCCAAATTGTTTGAATTGAATTAAGGGGGCTTCCCTTCTCGACTCAAAGATGAACGACTTGAAACATTAAAGGTTGAATGTGTTACTGTACAGAGACATTGTGATTTCTTGTTCAATTCTTCTGGAATGATAAAGCATTCCTAGAATATGAGTGGATTTTTTTTTTTTTTTTAAATAGAGCTGGTGCATGAAAGGAAGACCCATATCATCTTGTATAAAATGCAATAATGCTCATAAATAAACCATGTTTGGGTGACATCATTCATGCTTGGGTGGCGTTTACACCACTTTCATTTTGTATGGCATTTAGGGTTAGGGTTGCAATTGGGTTTTAGATTAGGTATACGGTTCAGCTTAGATAAGGGTGAGGTATAATGAAATTAACAACAGAGCCAAGTTGAAAGCATGTATTAAACGATTCAACCTTGATCTTCTAAAGCGTTCACTCAAGCGAATAAACCAACTAAAACTGCCACTGCAAAAAAAAAAATCCTTTTGAAGTATAAATGAACCATTTTATTATAAATCAAAGGCAAGAGTTGAAAGTAAACAGCTGCAAACAACGAGGACCCCCCCCCCCCCCTCTCCCCAAGTACAACAGTCCTCCGAGTGCCCTCAATATCTATGTATAAACAAGATGCAAAAATGTGAAACGGACTACTGGCATTTTATTTTGCTGCAGCCATTTCTTGAGGCAGTTTACTGGGTCATGTGTGAATGCAGCAGAAAAGTGACTTAAGTTTTCCTTTAATGTGAGAGAGAGAGTTTGGATTGATCGACTAACCCAAGAAGTCATCTGGAGAGAACTTGTCATTGTCCCAGATCTGAGCGATTATAACAGGTGGGACGTGGGTCTCCGTCTTGTCCAAGCTCCAGAAATGTTCCTAAAATGGACATGAAAATCAAGGGAAAAATACAGTTAATGTATTACAGTCAACCCTGTCTAAAGCGATCGCCCAAGGAAAGCACAAAAAGTGGTCTTTGTAGACAGGTTCCTTTCATTCATATTCCAATGAGAAACAAAAATGTGGTCTTTATAAACAGGTGGTCACTATAAAGGCAGGTTTGACCTATATATAAATGCACACATATTTTTGCTCAGTGAGCAGACTCCTTCTATACACCATTCAGTTTTATGAAGCTAATTAACATTCTATCAAGTGATTTTCAAAATGCATTAAATTTTATGAAATATATTTCTTTGTCCCAAACTGAAAAAAATATCCATTCCTTAATTATTCCATGATAACATAACATTAATTGGCATGCAGGGCATTATACCTTACATATAACATTACATTTCTCACCAACACAAAAGAGGACACCTCATTTATTCATAACTAAGGCAAATACCTTTTAATAACTATCAGCAGACGTCTTTTAAAAAGACTCTCTTTTCATCCAAGGTTGATTGATTCAATGCAATAAATTTCACTAATTGCTAATCTAATTTAACATATTATGGGATTACAAACAAGTCAATTAACCTTAATGAATCGCACATCTTGCCGACAAATTAAAAACCTCTTTTGTTTTCCCCTTTTTCAGCTTCATGTAGCCCCAAAGCTACTTTTAAATGATACTAATGGAATTACGTTGATTCATTGGAATGTACATTTCTTATCCACAATAGATAGATCTCGCACTAATTTCCAAATCTATTTGAAATGACATGAGTTGATGTACATGCACTTCGATTCATTAAACTTTATTTCTTTTCCACAAAATGGAAAATGTTTTATCACTATTTAAGATATCTGTTTTAAATAACTCTAATTTTGAACCCACATAACCTAACTAAATCATTTAGCATACCTAAATAACTAGTGTCTCACTTTGTTGACATCAAGTAAAATACGGAATAAATTTTTCTAGTCAAATATTTATAAAACTTGTTAGTCTGATATAACAAAATGTAGCATCTATTCCCAAGGTACATGCGATGCCTATCCTGTAACTGGAAAGTATATTATGTTCCTTTAAAATTTAAGTGTTAATCCCCCCCCCCCCACCCCCTCTCTCTCTCTCTCATAATGTAATAATAATGCATTCCCCAAGTAATTTCACACTAAATTATCTACTAAAGGATGAAATCTGCCCATACACTTAACACTGTACTTCCCTTACAAGTTAATAACATAATTATCTCTTATTTGTATTACCATGTCATTTCAGCTATTATGTTATATGTGATATCACTTTTTACCCCCCCCCCCCCCCTATGAATAACACTACATGTATATGTAGCCTTTAAAGGTAATGCAAAGTTTTGGGAAATTTTGAAAATTGGATGGATAGTAATTCTTTAAAATTTTGATATATTTGGATGCATGTACAGTATTATAAGCACTAGAAATTTTAGCCCCTAAAACACCTTTCAAGAAATTTGAATAATCAAAATTTACCGGTGCTCTCAGTAAATTAAAAATATTTCAAATAAAGCCTAAGGCCATTCCATGGAAGCTGCGACCATGAAAATCTCAGAATATGCCGTTTTCCAAACAGGAATAGCAAATCGGTCAATTGTAGTCAAGAAACATTGTTTTAAAGCTAAAGTAATATCAGTCTTGAGAGGGAGCTATACAGCATAAAGAGTTTATTATTTACAATTTCATCACTTTATAGACTCGATTTTAACCGCCACAACGATCATTGAATATTGTAAAATCGCATATGCTCCAAATATGCTAATTTCAACCAAATTCATGACCCCATACCAAAACTTTGTATTACCATCTCCATTATAATTGTACACCAGAGTATCACCCACCTCATAAATGTATAATGAGGTTAAAACTTAATAAACTACATTGTAAGACTATTAACTTACACTATTGATACAAAATTATGCCCAATACATGTACACTTTGGTCATTATCGGTCAGTCAAACGCAACCACCGGTCTAAAATGATGTTTAACCAAAGGAAAACTTAGACATCTGGTTTCAATTTGAGTAGAATACAGGCCTACATGTGTATGTATGTTTAAAACCACATTACCTTCATGAAGCCATGTTGACTTTAAAAGTGATATCACCTTTGCCCATATGAGTCAAACCATATTTAATACACACACCCTCCCCACTAGTTTCACAATAAAGTTCTCACTATTGCCGTTATACCCCCAAATGCCGTTACCCCCAGTGCATGCTTGCAGCGCGCACAGTACACATATTATGCATGCGCAATATACGTATCCAAAAGCTATTACTAGATTCCTCTCTTGACGGCTGCTACTGACTTCCTCTGATTTTTTTACAAGTCCATGATTTTTCGAGAAGAAATACATAGGGAATCCTACTGCATGTACATCAATTTTGTAATTGTTCTTTGTCAAAATGCAGCAAATAGAGTTGTGATGTTGCAGTGATTTCAAACATTTTTTACCTTCTTAGCAACTTCTTTCAGGTCGTGCACTGTGTAGGATTTGGGGGAAATTTACCCAAGTCACATCTCTCATTTCGGGATATCTCCGATCTTTTTTTTTGTTGTTTATTTTTATGCGACCAGCACAAAGCAGATTCACAGTATTGCACCATTTTCTAACTGACAATTCAAAGACGAAGTGAAAGATGCCACCATCCACCTATTGCAATGTGTACATAGACAGCTAGCTCACTGACTACCGGCTGCAGCGCTGCACGACGCCGGCCGAAACCGGATGGCATAGTACAGCCGCACAAAATAAATTGAAAGTGATTAAGTCACCAAGCTTTTCCAGAGTGCATTTGAAGCGGAGTCGTGAAAGTAACATCCGGGCATTTAGGGGTATTGGCGGTTTTTGCGAGAATTTTGATTACATAGAAATCCTTACTATCGTCAATAAATGGAGTAATAAAGCATATTAAGTCATAGGGAAATTCAATTGAAATTTAAAAGAATGGAGTAGTATTTTTTCACTGTTTTGTTAGAATTTGAAAAGAAAGGATGGGGTTAGGTAGATCCTGGGGTTGGGAATTACCCAATGATTAACTGATAATTGAATAAATTAATTAAAGGACAGTTGAAGAAAATTGGAGTGCTCTATAGATATGCCTCCAATTTATCAGAAGGTATTGGCAATAACCATCCACCAAATTACCTACCAGTCGTTTTAAAATCCCCTGGGAGAAAAAAAGGCATATTCTTTGTTTTTAATGACTTGGGAAATGTTAGCACCACTCAGGAATGTTGCATCACATGTATATTCACCATATCATTACATTGCATTTCCAATATACATGAACCTGGGTCCAGACCAATATCTTCTGCATTATGTTTTACATATTATCCTTGGGTAATTAATTGGTAAACATGTAAAGAATATACCCATGGAAATTAACAATGCAGCATTCTAAAGTTTTTTCTCTCAATTTTCAAATTTGATTGAATATCTCCCTACTTATTAGCTAGAGTTGTAATTTGGCATAATTTTTCCAAGATGTAATTTTATAATACACACTATAATGTGCTTCAAATACGTCTAGCTCTTGATATACACGTGCGTTTATCAATATCCATAGTAAATAATGAAAGATAACAAAATGTTCTAAATGATATAGAGTGTGCTGAAATAACGATACAGTACATGTATGTAATGAGAAAGAACATAGATGACATCACATGAACAGCCCTCCACTGGACACCAGAAGGCAACAAAAAGAGGGGACGTCCTAAAAACACTTGGTGTAGAACTGTGGAAGGGGAGATTAAAGACCTGAACCACACATGGTATACCATCCATAGACTGGCCCAGGATCGGAAGGAGTGGAAGACTTTTGTTGCTGCCCTATGTTCCAGGAGGCATAATGGGCAGTAAGTAAGTAACATGTACATGTACATGTATGTACAGAAACTTGAAAGAGTTCAGATAAATTACATAGCATAAACTGTTAAATTAAGGTAGCTTACACAGCAAAATGTAGTGCCACAAAAGGACAGGTCCGCAACAAGAATTATTGAAAATTTCATCAGACAGCGGTAGAACCACACTGTTAGGATATGGAGCTGGTAAGTACACATACTTATGCTCGATGAGGTTTCATTTTACCTCACCTTTCATTAAGATATGTCATTAGAAAATCTATCATTAGGGAGCAAAGTCAATTTTGAATTCTATAATTCAGAAAATTGGAAAAGACATAATTTTGCAGGTTTTGAAATATTTGCAGATTTGGGGTAAATTACATAGCATAAACCATCATTATGGAGCAAAGTCTATTTAGAATCCTTAAACCAGTAAGTCAGAAACAATGAAGGTGCTTGAAAAAATTACATAGCACAAAACAATCATAATTAAGGGATCAAAATACAGTTAGATTTCTAGGATTATGAGAGAAATTGAAATAGTTTGGAAAAATGATTGTAAGTACCTTCTTCTTGATAACAAGGACTTGTTCGGGAGGGATGTACTCAATGGGGAAACAGAACCTCCAGTTGAAGTTGCCTTCACCGTTGAGTGACCGGTAGTGGACATCCGTCTCCTGTTTCTCGTCCTGACCGGCCATCCATCTGGAGAAAGGAAAAGAATGAGCAAAATAAAAAAAATGTAACTGGCAAGGAAATAATGAATGAGAATACCTTTTGAATCGGGTTGTAGGATTGAACTGGATTGAAAAAACTCTATAAACTTTTATTCATTTTCATAACTTTAATAATATTCTAAATAAACAATAAAACTACAAGAATTCATGAAATAATCACAAATAAGATAAACTATATAACAATAATGGGTTACATGGATTGTACAGTACCTTGTTGTATGGACATTGAGATTACATTATCGACAGGGGACCACATTTTCAAACGTATGATTTCCTTTTCCTTTTGTTTTGCAACAACTAATTTAGTATGTTTGATGTTTAAAAAAAAGCTTTGAGACCCCCTAAATTGACTATTGTTTTCTTGCATCTGTGAATATGTTTGTTTCTACTTCATTTTATTCAATAAAATAGCTGGTGGAGGTCTAAAAAAAAGAACAAACACGAGAACGAAACTTCACCCCTTGATGTAGATGTCACTCATCTTCTCTCCCATGATGTTGGTTTCATCCAGGATTACATCCTTGGCATTCCAGACAATGCAACGAACAACGTACCTGACGAAAGAAAGATGAGGGCAACAAAATGAGGAAAATTAGCATCCCAAAAGAGAGATATTTGATTTCAAGTATATGAAAAGAATGTTACAAAAGCTGTACTTTAGCATTACTTGTCTTATATAGTTGTAACAAAAAGTTGCATGAGTCACCATAGATTCCAAAAATCTTGTAGGACAAATTTTTATATCAAATTCAAGATAGTTTTCATCTTTGAGTAAGGCCTTTGTAAACTTTAATATTCACTTGATAGGGAATGACAAACAATGCACAATGTCGCCCTCTGTTGAGAGCATGCTCATCCATCAGGGTACCCAAGTCTACTAATTTACTCTCCTCTTGATCATAAATTTCTTTCGTCACGAAGTCTACATCTTCCTTGTGTAGTTTCACAATAATACATGAATGTCAAACAATATACATGTTTGAATGTCTGAATGTCCTTTAATCATCAGAAAATATTCTAAATTCAAAGGCCCAAATTCATAAAGGAGATTTCATGGTTTAAATCTTCATTTACATAACCCATGGTCTAAAATAAGCATAAAATACGCGTGACACAGTCAGAGGTCCAATATTAGATGCGCGCAAGGCAAGGTATGCTTATTTTGCGCTAATTTTTAAGCCATGGGTTATGTAGATGAGAGTTTAAACCATGGGTTAGGTTAAACCTCCTTTGTGAATTTGGGTCAAAGGGATTTACTTGATATCAATTTGACATGGTTATGCACCCATCTGCAGGGCAACGAGGCTGGTGAGGGATGCAATCCCTATCATCCAACCCACGCTACCAACAAATCCAACGGCAATGGACGACAACTTACTTCTTGGGCTGCCTGGGGGTGATGTCACAGGGAGGACCTGGGGGCCCCAGGGTCATGGGGAAGATATCCACCCACATCTGCAGCTTGCCCTGCTCGATACCAGGCAGTAGAGGGCTGAAGAGCGGGCGTGTCTCGATGTGTTCCCTCACCAGGGGGTAGCTGCGCAGGGCTTGGAGGGCCAGACGCTGGTCCTGGGGACCCTCGTGCTCACTGTGCATCTTGTTCACCTCTGTGCAATGGAAACAATAAGTCATGGGATTCATAATAATTAATACTGGCCTTGGAATACGATATGAAAGAATATAGAATTAGTAACAAAAGGATATTGAAATTGAAAACAGTATATATTTTCAGGTATTACTGTATGTGCCATGTTTGAAAAATACATTATTTTCCCCTTATAGTCAAAACACATAATCTAAAATTGTAAGGTTGAATTTACACGCTTGTCATTTCAATGGTATGGCTTGATATCCCACTGCTGCCACCATTAATTAAGAGAAAACTGAAAACACCTCCAATGTTAAGTACTTCGTCATAAATATATATTTTTAAATGCCTTGAGCACCCTTTTTGGGAGGATACGCAGTTAATGTGAAATATATGTTTTATATGATAATTGTTATCATTAATATAAATTGCCTTTTTTTTCCTTCTTTTTTTAAACCAATCCAGTTGATAAGAATTCAAAGAGCATTAATGATTATAGGACTGTCTATCAGATATCACCAGTGACAATAACAATAATTTTAATCATTCTATATAGATAATGTATCGGATTTCAGTGATGCTTACCAATCCATCTACAGAGCCCCCAGTTTTGATTCCCAAGACCCAATATCTTATATAGACCAATTTCTATTTGTTAGTAGTTATCTTTATCATGATTGGTGCTATGGTTTATTCCTTACCAAAGTCAGCCAAATTGTACATCTTGCCCTCCACGGTGAGCTTGGTCGATCCATAGAAGAATGGTCCAGAGATCTTCTGCTGCTTGCAGTATTCCTCAAGCATTTCTCGCGGTGTGTTCTGGTCGCGCCACTTGTTGGGGCCAGAGCTGAGGAGAGAAAAAGAGAACTGGAGCATTATCGCAATGCGAACTTGATTATTACACAAAATGATAGTGCAATTTAAAGTACAAAGCACTTACAAAGCATTTGTCAGTGCATTATGTAAGGAATGCAGAATAATGTAGAATGTCACTCAAACAACTGTGGTTTAATCCCAATATCATGTAAATAGAACTAAATAATATTGAATGATTCTTTCACTCATATGTTTAATCATATTCCAATCTATCTATATTCCGATGATTATCTTTTTCACATTTCTAGAATTTCATAGCGTAAAAAAGATATTAATCTACATTTGCCACTCTCCACCCATGTGTTAAATGGGTACTAGTAGGAAGGAATTCCTTGAATGCTGTGAGCGCCGAAATCGGCTGCCTAGCAGAGCAGGGGTAATACTTGGAGAGCCTTGAGTACCATGCTTGGTAGTTAAGTGTGCTATATAAATATCCAATATTATTATTTTTTTGCAAATGATTAATCATGCAGGATAACAAAGAAGGTACGAATCCTTGTACTCACATGTTGTAGGTCTCTGGTAGTCCAACTGTCGCACGGTACTCGGTGAGGAATCGGTTCTCCAGATCGATCTCCGTTTCACCGATGATGTCGTCTTTGCTCAACAAGTCCTTGTCCATGACGGTGATCTTCAGGTCCTTGTGCACTGGCAAGAAGGTCTTGATCTCAAACATCCTGAAATTCAATGAAAACAATTATATAATTTGTGTAAGTATTCAGTTACTTGAACACAATGTACTTAATGGTTGACTGGGCAACAATTCTTCTGATTACTTTGGCACTTGACAAAGATTTTTGCATAAAATTTGAATATGGTCTATTCAACTACTGAGATCCAGAAGGACGTTAATCCTACATTAAATTGAGACATTTGGGCTCCCAGGAGAAACTTACAGACGTACAAAACACTACATGTATTTGAAAGGAACACATATCTAACAACTAGGCAATAATACATGTATATCTTTGAATATTTATGACATTCCATTAATATTCAACTGACAAATTGCCTTATCTAGTAAAATGTCTTGTCTAATTTCCAGATCGAATTCTATAAATATTGTTTTTGTAGTTGAGCCAAAGAAGAACATAAATGTATTTATCTTTTCCACTTCATTGAAGTTCATGATCGAAATCAAGAACTCAGTCATAGTAAACAGGCGAATGCTATAATATACTAAAGGTACTTACTTTCCAAAGACTGGGTTGAGGGTGTTTGGTAGATAGTCATCTTCATCATCAATCTTCTTCTTACCCAGCTTGATCTTCAGGTAGGGATCAGCCTAGAACAGAAAGAAAATGATCGGTCACCTGAAGCACATATACCTGTCTTTAATAACACTTACAATTACACATGATTTAACCCAAGAACAGGGAAATATTGAAGTATTAAAAGATAATGTACAAGTAGGAACAGTGTAGAAAAAACAATGTACGTTGAGGTACATTAAAAAAATAAACAAGGCACTATTTTTGGAAAATGAAATAGTTTTCAAATTATCATTCAACATTTATACTGCAATGAGATAATGGATAATGTGTGAGGTTTGGTGGCAAACAAATGTAAATGTGGTTTCAACTGTTAGAACTTTTCCAACGAAAGGCCTTCATTCCTCGCAATGTTAAAGGGATCCGGTAACTTTGTCTCAGATTCTGAAACAAAATCCGGGATTTAGCTCATGCTGCTATGATAATTATAAACCTTTATGTCAGTCAGGAACTCCATGACTTTTACAAGCCGATCGCCTGTCTGATTATCAAGATATTTATGATTGAAATTACAAATTTTGAAAACCGTTCGCCGGACGGTTTTCATAACACTACAGTCTATTGGGGAAAACGAGTATGATAAAACCGGTCACTCAAAGATTTTTACTTTTTTGAGGCACTTCTTGATCATTTTGAAGCGCGATTTGTTTAGGGCTTCAATATTACACCATATCACAGACACTGATAACACGTAGGGCCGTGTATCTCAGATTTAACATTGTTAAACAATCCCTTTAATTTGATATGACAAATATTAAGCTTTTCATTTCCATGAAACTGAACAGAGTTGTCATAATATCGCCTAAAGGGTGTTCAGTTAGATCTTGTTGAATTCTTGGTAAAATGTTGACTTAATCCAGGAATGAACCCCGATGACTACTGAGTTCTCTCATTCCCATAGGCTCAATACAGGAACCACCCAGTTCTGGTAGCAGACCTGCCAACCTCTGGAGTTCAAAAACTGTATTCTTAAATCCCAAAAGTTGTATTTTACTGACAAAAGTTGTATTCTTAAAAATAAACATGGACTGTTACGCGGATCAATGCGTCTTACAGTTCCTACATACAGGAATAATTTTGTTTATGGATCATTGGTTGAATATGCATGGTTTCGTCACCACCGTTGTGTTCGATGAACCAATGAACATCCCAAAATTGCTGATGTGAGATGCATGTAGGATACTTAACAGGACAGAATGGGTATTTTGCCATTGAAAATGGTACACAAACACACAGAAAATAGAAAGGAAAAAAAATATATAAAAAAAATATTTTAAAAATTAAAAAAATTGGGGGAAAAAAAAAAAAAAAAAAAAAAAAAAAAAAAATCATTTTTTTTGTTTTTGAAAATCGTATTTTATTGAGGCAAATCGTACTGTCGTATTTGCTTCTAAAAATCGTACTAAATACGACTAAATCGTACTGGTTGGCAGGTCTGTGGTAGGCAATGGATTATATTACATAATGACCAAGAATACCACCTAAAGCCCCTATCACACCAAGCTAGTTCTCACTACGTTCTTAAAAATGTTGCCAAAGTGTGTGCAAACGGAGTTGAATGTAATAGCAACTGTTTACGATCTGTTTTAGAACTTCATGGACGGGCTCGGACTAGCTAGGGATGGCACATGCTCTAGGAGCGCATTTGGACGCACTACGACGGGATAGACAGGTTACAAACTAGTTACAACAAGTTGCGAACTAGTTAGAAAGGGTTTGCACGTATTCGGAACGAGGTAGAACTAGTTAAGAACGGGCTTGGACTGCCTGGAAATGGTAAATTAACCCGATCTGAACTTGATATAAACTGACTATGGATGGGGTACAGATGAGATGGACGTAATAAGGACTGTTTTTGAACGAACTAAGTTCGTATTATAGACATTATTTATACATTTTGCCCCGACCACCACCCGTTTTACAATGTTTCAGGACAGTTCCAGAACGTAGTGAGAACTAGTTTGGTGTGATGGGGGCTCAAGGCAGGTATGATTGTTCCCTTACCAGTCCAGAGGGGTCTTGAGGCTGAAGGTCAAGAGCCTTGACTATGTAGACTCGGATGACACACTCTACCGGTGCTGAGGGGGGCAGGTGGCTGAACTGCTTGGGGGGTAGTTCTGCCTTCAGGTCTCCAGGCAAGGCGTAGATCCTGAACAAACCCTGTGGATAGAAAAAAGATCATAATAATAATAATAATAATAGGGATTTCTATAGCGTCTATCTAGAAATTCTATTCTGAGGTGCATTTATTAGCTGCCATTACAGCGCTTTAATTCTTAGAAGGTAAACATTTACCTCACCTGGGTCGAGTGTGGCAAATGAAGATTAATGCCTTGCAAAAGGATATTAGTGCCGTATCAGGGACCATGACCTTTGAATTTCAAGTCAAAGTATACATTTAAACATTTATAGCAATAATATCTTAACTTACATGGCAATATTCTGCTCCTAAAAGAACTGCTGTAAAATCAAATTTAAGTACAGATGTCATGGGCAATTTTCCCGTCATAAAGACAATTGCAAAATAATTTTGATCGTCCTTTTAATGCATGTATTTTTCAAGAATAGTTTGAGATCGACCATAGTACTAGTACTAGTGTAAACAAGACCAAACTTGATTTTACTTTTGGGAGGATAGCATCAACTGGTCAGATAAAAATGAAGCCAAAAACAGATGTGACTCATGGGACATGTCTATACATGTCGGTAACATGAAGGATAAAACTTTTACATTATTCTACGACCTAATTAACCATATCGTCTCCTATTGATTCATGAAGAATGATATAGGATCACAAGTAACAGTAATAAATTGTGTATGAAAGTTAACCCTTTAATTGCCAAAGGCAGCATATCCCAGTCAAATATTGTTTTTGTAATGCAAAGTTAGGACCAAAATGAAACATATTAATTTTGTTCCTGACTCAAGTGTAGGTCTAGTGTTTGTGTAGAGTTGAATCCAGACTTGAGTTATCAATTTGAATAGTGTGAGAATTGACTTGTACACTTGGTCGTATTAAACACATGCTCCGGTGAAAATTGTTCTGCAGTGATTTCACACACTAACCAAATTCTAAACTCCAACCCTAGAACAAACAATACTATACCTAACCCTAACTATGAACCTAACATAAACCTTATTACCTCATTTTCTTGTCATCAGCAGTAGGTCCTAATCAGTGCTCGGGCAATTCAATAATTTATCAATTGATGTTTTGATCACACAATATGTTTATAATTAGTTACACATTACAATAAAATTGAATTCATAATTCTTTTTATATTTTTATCCATGTTTCCATAACCTTTGTTTTATACGTTACTATGTCTTCAATTTGTACTTATCAAGTCTGCAAATCTGTGCAGGGCCCTCAGGGGTAGCAATTTGTTAACTGAAGAAGCAACCCCGCTTAAATAAACCTGTAAATAAATAAATAAATACAATAGTAAAAGCAAACAACATCAACTATTCTTACCTTGAATTCTCCCACTCCAGAAGATTCTTCATCTTCATCACTATCTTGCTTTCCACGGTTCAGATCGTAGCAATTGCAGAAGTCCAGGAAAGAGTTGTTTGTTCCCAAAACTTCCAAAGGCTTGTTGTAGATCTGAAACAGAAAAAATGTTGTATTCACACTATCTGTTAATTATTGTCTGAAGATTTATTATCATAAATTCAATTTCTAATTCTATATTTCTTTAAATCAAATACATTCCAGCTATTTATGTTTTTTGTGATTTTCAATGATTTTATTCAGAGTTATATGCATTTTCTTCTTCTTATCAGTATTTTGAATACACTTTTTTTTTTAATTGCTACACTTTACTTGAAAATTCAATTCAATGCAACATTATAACCATACATGATCTGTGAACTGCTGTACTAACATTAAATGATTTAAAATGTTCTGAAAATTTCAATCATGCACACAAAACTTTTGATCAAAGGTACCCACATTTATTTACTGGTACAACTAATACCATTCAATTAATTAATAATACATACCAATGCTCTGCAAGGGATCCAGTTTACATATCTTTATATGCCTTATGTTCAAAATTTCCATCGTACTTAACTCTTTCAAAAACTCTTTCTCACCAATATCGTTCCAAATCACCAGCAATACTAGACAAAATGAAACACTTTTTGATATGTTGAACAAGAATTGCCCTTTGATGTTGTTTACTCTAAACCGAGTTAAAAATAATCTAATATTGCCATTGATGAATGGCACAGCCAAACCCAAACACAATAGAACATGGCCGCCAATGGATATGTCTACTGCCAGAATGAACAGTCACTGATCAAAAATAGATTTCTTTGTGGTGTTTAGGGAAAATTTGATTAGGTAAACAGTGTTCAACAAATTCTGTTTTAAATCAAGTTTAAAAACCTTTGAGACCCACTCTAATCAATGCTATATATATATATATAAGTTGAATGTACATTTTGACATGAAGTTTTAAAAAGGGTTTAGTAAAAATATGTATTTTCTCTTATAACTATTAAATGAAAAAGATTTTTTGATTTTAAAGAAATAAGTATTATTGTATTCTATATGGGTATCATTTAAAGGGAAATATAAAAAGCGATGGTATAAATAATCTAATGACTTTGAAATATCAAAATCTTCTATGAAATCATTTAAAAGAAACCATAAAAACTGGTTAGTCATTCTAATAAAATGTGTAAAGGGTTCAAATTTTTTTTTATTAACCTCCTTTATTAAAGGAAACCAACAAAACGGTATCTAATGCTAAAACAGGACACAGTAAATTGTAAAATATGTCCTAATAATTTCTTAAATTGAATTAACAGTCTTCCTCAATTTTGGTGAACAGATTTCTCTAAGCCTTCTAAAAAAAGTTCAATTTAATTAACCTTTCCTAAGAACCTTTCCTAGTATAGCTTCCTGAGTGAGCTGCCAAAGGGATTACCCAACCAAGTACCAAGTAGACCTATGTCGATAATCATAACAAGATTAATGAAAGATAATTCAATTTGGTTACAATACAAAGTTAAATCTAATGTCAAAATAATGAAAATAATAATAATCAAAATCAAACATCACCTCTATCTTGTCATAGCCTCTCTCCAGATAGTCCCCACACTTCTCAGTCTCGCCAGTGGAGGCATAGTATTTGGACCACCAATCAATCTCATCTTCAAAGATATCCTGCCACGGAGAAATGCCCATTGTTGAAAAAATTAGGGAAAAACAGAGATAAAACACAAAATTAATTGCAGACCAGGAGGAGGGTACGAATAGATGTTATGATATAACGCAGGTATTCTTTTTGAGTGAAGAATTCGCTCTTGCTCTGAAAATAAAGCTTTTTAGAGTAGAAAATTGGTAGAAAAATGTGACGAGTTGAAAAAATTGCGTAGTTTGCTGCTGAAGAAGACGATCGTAACGTTGTGAAGGAAAGTTGACGTAGTTAACGGCGGCGATTATGACGGTGATCTCTAAAGGTGTCCTTTTTATAATCAGCATCTCGGTCGGATGAGGATGATAACAAAGAAAAAGAAGAGAGAAGGTGACCCCTCCCCAGGTGACCCCACCCTGCCCTACCCTACCCCACACACCATCCTCCTCTCCCCTGATCCTCCATGACTGCATCTCCATCTTCATTCTCTTTGTTTTGAACTGATGCTGACATGGATCCCCTTCCCACCCCTAGACACAGGCACACCTGCCCCCTTCAAACACAGACATGCTCCGACACGAAGCAAGGGTGACGCCGAGTGCAAAACTAGGAACGACCTTAATCTGATTTCAAAAATAGCCCGACGTGGATTATACGTTTCTGTATCAAGTCATATAAAAAATATATTCCTGAGTTGTAGTAATTTGAAATAAAGAAAGAAAAAGAAAAAGAATAACCAGGGACTTGTAAACAAGGGGAAAGTTAAGGAAGCCGCCTGATTGGTCGCTTGTACTTGGCAAGGGACTGCTTTGTTTACATTTCAATGTATTTCTTGAAAGCAAAAACCAAAACAGTAGCAATACTGGCCATGAGTAGAGCTAAGCATCTGATTGGCTGGGCAGAGTTTGCCCTAGACTCCTCCCTTTGTTTACAATTTTTATGCTAATAAAGAGTGCATCTCTCCCCCTCCCCCAAACCTCTTTTACCACAAATGAGCCCCACCCTCTTCAAACCATCCCCTTCCCGGTGACATTTTAAATGACCTTCATAAGAAAAAAGGCATGCATTCTACCTCAATCACGATCAAACTCTCTCAACTCGTGTGGAGTATGTAATAGACTTGTTCAAACATGTAAACATCCATCGAGGGTCAGACCCCTAGTACTTCCTGTCGTGTCGTCGTAAGCTATGATGACTTCTATTGCAAAGACGTTAATATGACAGGAAACTATAGAGCTTGAACAACCCGGCAGAATCTATCTATAGGAAGTAAACAAGAACACCTGTACAATCTTAGAACGCTCAGTTCACTTGCTTCATTAGTTGCGAGAGATGACAAACTTGTTGGCACACTTGGCTAAAACAAAAAATTTCCTTCACCAACTTCAAAATCCAACTTCCACCAAAACAAACGACTTAATGACATCAAAATATCAGGTATGAATCTAAGGTTCGTCATATATGTAGATATCTGCAAAAACATAAAAAACTTCAAACTTCAGATTCCATTCTTATTGCTGGGAGTAAAGAACAAAATACTATGCATAAGGGTAGCTGATATTTTGATAAAATTGCTTGATCTTACAAAAATATCAATACACACAAAAAGGCTAGGAGCAAATATACACTGTACTTAATGAAAGGAGAATAGGTCCCTACTGGATAATCTGCAAAGTGGGATATTCCTGAGTCCTTCAAGTAAGTTGGTTGTGCACATGAAGTTATTCAAGGGGATAAGCTAATCCCTGGAAAGGAAGCTCAATGTTGTCAAGTATTTCACAAATCTCTGCAGCTCATCCGCTTGCCAAGAGCCCAACTTGGTCCCATGCCAGTTAGAGCTGGTTTAATGCGCTTCTACGGTCCCCATGGCAACGAGAAATCAAAACAAACTCCCGAGATGGGTAGCACACGACACTCTTTCTGGATGCATCGACAAAACGAAGGAAAACTTGTCGAATTGGCAGCCGGCCAAATTAGCCAGCTTAATGCCAACGTTTTTTACTCCACGATGACAGATTTGATCGATGTCAAAGCATAAAAATTTGTTGGAACGGGAATAAAAGACAATGCCAGACAAATGTAAACCGGTTCAATCTCTGAACAAAAGGTCAGAGAAAGACTCGAGAATCTTCACTTGAAACTATTTGCTTTCGTTCCTTGTTGAGTCACTCGACCAAATTGATGAACATTTCATGGAAATGCTTGATACTAAAGAAATGCTTTAATTGCTTAATTTCTTCAAATTGCTACTTCCTTAGCTGTGCACTGAATTGACCCCAGTATTCATATACAAGTTCATACTATGTTGTTGACGTGATAAACATTCATACCACTAGTACTTTCTAAAAAGAAACAAATAAGGTCACCTTTTCCGACATTACAATTGTAGGGAAATAATTCAAATTTGCAATTTTACGAGTGGTTATCCCATTGTACTGCTACAAACACCATTATTAAGTTGCCTAACACTACCTAACATTACCTACTGCCAATACAACCACATATTAGGAATCCAGGTTTCTTTGTTATGAAAATGGATACATTGAAATAATCTCTTCCAAAGCTTGACATACAACCTTCTATTTTATGTCTTTACTTCCTTTGTAACAATTACTTTTAATATAAAAATGGTTTAATGAAAACTTACATTAATTTACATGTCAGTGTTTAAAATTGGATCATGCATAAACTAGATATGTTACAAATGTGGAAATCAAAAGTAAAATTCAAGGTTGGTTTTTAGCTGACATTATTGTTTTGAAACTGTCCTCATTAATTGGACCGAAACGTGACAACAAAGTGGAAAGAAAAAAAGACGTATTCAAGGTGAACTACAACCTGGAATCCAGCCAATCTGTACAGCTGTTTCTGCTCTTCATAGTAAGAGATGGGAGGAGGATCAACAAAAAAGTGGATTAAAGAAAATAAAAACATATCTTCGCACGACAAAATAGAAAATTAGATTTGACAGCCAAAATCACTGATCCAGGGTTTTAATTTTGCATCCAAATAGAAATTTGGCTACCCATCTTGAGTTAATCCTACCCAGAATGCATTGCACTTTACTTATGTTATGAAACAGACGGAAGTGCCTTGAAATAGAAGCCCAACCTCAACCCTGGTTAGCCGGTTATGTGTGCTCATGTACGAGATGTTTCTATCATCACTGAAGGGAGCATCTTTGTCGCAAGAGGGACCTTTCATTTTAGACTATGGGATTCAGGCTGCTTAAATTCTATAAAATACCGTTATTCTGTTGGACCTTCGGCCAAAAAAAAAATCCATTAAACAACGTAAGAGAAGAGAGATTTTTGTGCATGATTAATACTTCAGTCATCTAAAAATGCTCCTGATTACAAATGATTAATTACCTAACTCTATTTGGTTACAAATTATGTCTGATATTTCAGACTAGGTAGGATAGATGGCCAAGATGGGCCAGCATCCATTGCCTGCGTGATTCTTAGTCATCAAGGAGCCTTGCATTTTTTTCTTTTCCAAAACTCTCCAAGTCAAAAACTCCAAGCCAGAATGGCCACGCTCAAAGATCCACGTTGGCACAGCGCTTCGCTTGCCGGCGCGCCACAATTTTGTTTTTGTTTTGGTTCGGGGCACAGCAGGGTAGGTAGCACGAGTCAAGAATTCGCGAGTCAATGGACGTAGTAAACTTGTAGTACGCTCAGCTCAGCTGTAGTGTGCGTCATGCACAGACTCGCAGCTGATCGAGTGGCTAAATTTACAGGGACGGGTTGGGTATTAAGGCAGAGGAAAGACGGCAGGAAACTATCGTAGTATATATAGGCCAGTAACGTCAAAGACGCTTAAAGGGGCATGTTTTCATGTTGTTTGTCTCCAATAAACAGCGTTACAAGCCTGTCTCATCTCTAAAGGGCTTAGCCCAGAAAAGAAGCAGGTGCACGAAAAAACGTGAAGTCATAACAGGCTTAGAATGGACATCCTAGTCTCACAAACCATTAACTAGTGATTTTCTCACTCTCATGTGTTTAATACAGGAATCACCCAGTTCCCAATAGCCATGGGTTTATAAAAACAGGTTGCCCAATTTGTTTTTTCACAACAAATATAGAGACGAAAATAGGATAAAAACAGAAAAAGGACGTCTTGATCATTGCTTCATTTCTCTGTGTTAAATTTTTAAACTGCTTCAGTCGGCTTTTGGAAAAACCGGTAGACTGTACAGTGTACTGCATACCGGTGTGGCAGTCTGGAAGTTTAATCCCTAGCAGACAAAGTGTTAATATATATATATATATATATATATATCTGTGGGGGGTGTTTCACAAAGATCTTAAGTTGAACTTATCTTTAAGTTGGATTTAACAATTATGAAAAGCCATTAGCATCTATCAAACTATTTTGTAACAGTTTTTTTTAAAGGCATAAAATGTTGATTCAAACTCATTAATATTTTCTATTATCAACAGGGATTTCATGTTCTTGATGTTGAACTTATAAAAAGTCTAAAATACTTGAATTTTCGCTTTTGAATATATTTTATTTCAAGGCTACAATGGCTCTCCATAATGTTTGAGTCTAACTTAGAGTTAAGTTCAACTTAGGATCTTTGTAAAAACACCCCCCCCCCCCCAGCTCTAAACCAGTACCCTATGAAAAATGGAGGAAATCAATTCATTAAGCTGACTCATTGAAGTAATTCTGACAAGATAAACAATCCTTCTGAAGTTGTTCATCACTGATTGACCTCAACTAATTTAAATTCCAACACTCTTCAAAGTTCTACTCTACAACATATAGAGTTAATAAGAAGTTGGACAAAGGCAAGCACCAATAGCTCAAAATAGAAATGACTTCACCTTTTGAAAGTAGTTTCAAAACAAATTTTACCATTGCCATCCACAGCATAAAATAACCACAACAAAATGTACCTCCCATGCAGAAAACGTGACAAAAATAGAGTGAGTATATTACACCTTATTTAATTTTTAAATAGCGCTTAATACAAATGTTATAACCTTTGAATTAAAGTTACAATGAGCTGACTATAAAG